GTACTTTGTGCCTGGGGGTGGGGGCCTGGATTAAAAGGAATGATAAAGGAAAAAGGTGAGATTGTTTCTGAAGGGAAAGAAGCCACCAAATAGATTTTTACAAAGGGAAAATCCAACATAATGTTGGTGTCTAGGGAGAAGCTTAAAATAAGAGAATAATATGCTCCTTTAGCTTAGACTCAGATGCCCCTTGGGTTAAAGAACTCTGTTAAAACCTTCTCCTTGAAAGAGTCAGGAAGTGAGTGGAACAGCAGGTCGACCTATTGAACACACTGGAAGAAGAGACGAGCGTTCTGACTAGGACCAGGACTACATCAAACAATGTTACTGTGGCTTTTGGTTAATATTAATTAATATGGCTTTGGGTTCTTATTTCACAGGATACATCTGCTATTAAGCATCTGTGTTGGAAAGTACCCTATGGGAATCTTAACCCAGTCAAATCTAGAGAACAATGATTTATAACAACTTGAATGAACATTGTGTGGCCATTAATTGCGATGATAAAGGTGTAAAAAGATATTGGGTATGTGGTACAAGGTTTATGTGCTATATGCCTCATCTGTTATAATATTATGTATAAAAAAATAGCAATTTGCTCCATTACTTTCCGTGAAAAGCCGTAAGCGGGTAGAGGGACAATTGAGACACTTAGATGATTGAGAAATAATTAAATTTAATTTGGTGGGCCTATCTTCCTTAGATTGAAAAGCCAGAAATTTGATGTGGATGGTTATAGAAATTTCTGCAGCACACTCAAACCAAATTTCATTTGGGAGTAACTACTATTCGCGTGATTTTATCTTGGAAAACAACAGTTTTGTGTCTCAAATTTATTTCCTAGTTGTATTAAAGATGTTAGTTCTCAATGGCAACAACATGTCTGGTGAATCAAAGAGCACTGGACCCCTTGAAATAAAAGAACTTGGAAGAATTAGGGGCTGGGCTGGGAATATATGGCCAAGTAGAATTTGCTTTGAATGAGAAAATATAAGCTGATGAAAAAGACCTCCTGGTGCAAGAAGAGCATTTCAAGGGCACCCAACTCCAGGAGGAAGGATAAGGATGGTAAGCTGCCTAGACTGATATCTGGAGAACCGAACCTGTGAGGTACTCTTTAGCAGCTTCAGCATCACAACTGAGGGCCAACCATTCTTCCTTCAGTGTGCAACTCATGGGTACTAGATGCATTTTAAATAGGACTACAGTATCTCCCCTAGGAGATGGACAGATCTTGTTATAGGACCTCTGTCTCCGGGGCACCAAAATCTGTTAAACCGTATCAACTGAGAAAATTAGTTTGGCTATGCCCTCCAAATGTTTTTAACTCAGAAATAACAGAGAACTGGCCTCTAACCTATATGAAAAATAATACGTGGTATATAGAAAAGTAGATTTTTGTAGGGGAGAGGCAAAATCATTATACTGGCCTCTTGACATGCCTTGCTGTGGGAGGCAGCCTGTGGCTGTGGATCCATATCCTGATTTTAATGCTCTTGTCCTGATGTAGCCTTTCTGGCAGTAGACTGCAGATTTGTAAGCCATGTTATTGTGGGTCCTGTGAGTCTTCTTTAGCAACTGAACCTTTTCTAATGCCACCCTTAGTGCACTATCAAAAGGTGAGGTGCATTTACGGAGAAGGGAGTACATTTTTTCACCTGGTTTGTCACGGTGAGGGTTAGTCTGGAAGCTGTGACTGTTTTGACAACTCTAGGCTGTACCAAATCTCTATAATGTGTGCTTTAGTTGCTGAACACAGGCAAATCGTTCTCTGTTTCTTGATGTTTGCAGAATATTTGTCACACGTATCAACTGCAGTATATTTAGCCCTATGGTTTGGGCTCTTTCCAACTCACTATACACTAATAAACTAAAAACACTTGCTTTGTTAAGTGCATTTTTATTTCTGCTCTTAGAAGTTGGCTATATTTTTAATTTTAGAAGCTACACACCTATGAAATGTCATCAGAACTACAAAGCGAGAAAGAAAAAGCTTAGGTTATCTTCCTCATAACTTTCAGTGAGGTATCAGCCACATTAACCAGCTTATAAATCTTTCTTACCAAGATTTTCTCTTTGTTTCTGCTTTTCTATCAAGTTTAATTTTCATTCACAATGTGTTGAAAGGCAGTATGGAGTCATGCAACATTTAACTGATTACAAACTGGAGACATTATAGGCCAATGGTGATGCTCTCCACTTAAATAGTGAATTCTCTATAGCGGATAAAACTGTGCTGTTTGGTTTTCTGCAATATTGAAACTTTGATAGGGAAGTGAAAAAAATAAGATCAAGTGCTTAATAGAGGTGGCAGTGCATGTTTTCTAAGGCATCTGTAATTCAAACTCTTCACTGGCATCAGGAAATCACTGAGATAACATCATTAATTTTCATTAAAGTAAGAGTTAGTAGAAGCGGCCTTTGGTAGAAAAGGCTAGTCAGGGCAAGTTTTATTTGCCTGCACCACAAACAATAGCTCTTTATCATGGCTTTGCAGACATAGAAATGACAAAAAGGCTGGAAGATAAGCAAATATAAAATTAAGAGGAAATTTTTAAATCATCTACTGAAAAGTTAGTAATGTTACCACATGTTTTCGATAATAAAGGATTGGGAAACTCTTCATTCTATATTCTTACTACACATGACATCCTCCTAGTGTTCTTGAGAATTCAGTACTTTATTTAGATAAATACACCTTAATTTTGCTATACTGGATTTTTTTTCAAGTATGAGAAAAGTCACACTCAGAAAGGAAATGGTGAGAATTTCAAATCTTTTTAAAAGTAAAATTTTCAAGAAATCATTCTACATTCAGAGCTTAACTTTATTACAAGGTTATCACCTCAAATGGCCAAAATTTTTCATATCAAATTCCCCATTTTCCAAATTCCACATTTCTCAGAACACATCCCTATCTTTAAATGATGCATGAATACATATACATCTCCATTAGCTCACCCAGCCTCTTCAGCTAGCTACCACCCTACTTCCCTTCCCTTCACAAATACATTTCTCCAAATGGTATGGATGGTCTATACCAACCGTCTCTACATCCCCATTCTTGATTCACTTTTGAGCTCACTATACCACCTCCACTGTGCCTCTAAAATCTCACCAAAGTTATTAAGGACCTCCTTGTTGTGATATCCAATGGACATTTTCCCCAACTTCATTCTGACATCCCAGCAACATCTGATCCTGGTGACAGGTTCATTCTTCTTTTTCCCCATGCAGTATGTAGGTAGCACTATAACCTATCGGGATTTTCCTCCTGCATTGGCCACTCCTTTGCAGCCCCCTTTATAGGTCACTCAACCTCTGTCCTGAAGAACTCTTCCCTTCTCACTCTACACTCCTCTGGAGCCATCTCAAACTCTCCATGGTTACAACCAGCATCTACATGCTGATAATTCCTAAATATTGCTTGTATATTTCTCCTGAGCACCGCGGCTTCGTGTCCAACTCTACCAGGCAAGCCTACCATTCACCTGGTATCCGAAGCCAAGCACCTAATGTCTTTCTTGACTCCCCTTCACCTACTGCATCAAATAAATCACTGAGGGCTGGCAAATCCACTTCCTAAATATTTCTAAATTCTCTCCACTTATCTCCATCCCTATTTTGCCAATTCAGGCCACCATGTTGCTGGTTTAGATTACTGCAACAAGTCTCTTTCCTATCAGTCCCACAACCCTCCAATCCATGCTCTGTTCCACAGCCAGAATGATCTTTTAAAATGAAAATCCAATCATGCCATTCGCATGCCAAAACCTCTTGAATGGCTCTCCATTGACCTCTGAATTCTTTAACTTGGATTTAAAAACTCTTTCACAATCTGCCTCCTGCTTCTCTTTCCAGCCTAATATTTCTCAATAGCCCTTCCCTGGAATTCTGTGCTTTAGTTACGCTGAAGTATGTTCAGTTTCCGAGTGCATCACGCTTTCTCTGGGCTCCTCCTCTCATTCCCTTCCCTCTGACTAGAATGCTCTTCCTACAGTCAGCTCTACTTACTCTTCTTGACTCACCTAACTTAGACATCTCCTCTTCAAACAAATCTTCTCTGAACCTCACCCCACACAGCTAGCTGTTCACATTCTTCCACTGTTACTCAACTAAATACATGACATCGAAACTATCTCTTCACTTTTCCTCAGGGTGCCCATAAATCCAAGAAATATAGACAATACCACTTTATTCTTTTATCGATTATAGACATTCTTGATGACCTTACATGCACATTTTCCTATGTCTCCAGATTTTATGGACATCCCATTAGACTGTAAGTTCCATCAGGATAGGAACTGTGCCTGTCCATTTCACAGGCATATCATCAATGCACATAGACACTCAAATAATATTATACCATAATTCATTTTGTTGATAACAGAGAGTATATATAAACTATCTGAAGAAATGATAGAGCTATATAACACTTCAGGATTTTCCCACAGATGTATGACTAAAAAGCAGAAAAGCTATCTTGTCATCTTTCCTCTATCACAGCATGCAACTGAAAGTCAGCATTCAAGCTAATAAACCACACACATCTGTGAATGTTGGTTTGGATAAGATAGTCACAGCCTTCTGAAGGCTCCCACGTCACAAAAAAAAAAAAGATAGTCATAGTCGTCTAATAACCAAATACATTTTGTAAAAGGAAGAAACAAAGGTATAATGGGAGAAATGATGGAAGTTTCACAAAGGTAATTATGGATGCCAATGCCATTAGTTGAAAAATTAAAAGTTATCGATATCTTATCACTTTAACATTAGTAGCTGAGGAATGGTAATAGAAATGATTGATTCTAAACAATATAACAAAATAGTCCAATAGTCTTTGACAAACAATAGGCCAAAGATACTTTAAAGAATGAATGCTATGTTGTAGCAGGACTTGTGACAGCTATTTCTCCCTTCTCCAAGTGAAAATATTCCCAAGCACTTTTTTTTAAGCACAGAAAAACCCTCAAGATCTTTAAGTATTGGTTAATACTTACAGCAAAGGGCCTTCTGCAGTCTTCGGAGTTTCATGGCAGTCCTATAAGCTGAGAACCTGACATTATTCAGGTCAGCTGAAAAAAAGGGAGGAAACAAAGATCATTTGTTATTTCATAAGAAAGCACAGACAAAACCCCCAATGAATTGCCAACAACTATAACAACCACGAAAATAGCCTTAAAAATTGTGTCTATGCTCCAAGCTTTGGGAGGTGAAATTCTGTCGATGTGTCCTTTTGCCCTTTGACAATCAGGAAAGCTAAGTTCTGTGAAGGACTACAGTGGCATAGCCTGCAGGGCATTCATGTAGTCGTTGTTCCCAAGAGAGAAAAGAAGGATGGGCATTTTTTTAATAGACCGTAATCTGCATCTACTGCAGTGAATCTTTGCTACAGAAGATTAAAGAGAACAAGGAATATATTATTGAAATAGCTAGAAGAACAATCGAGTGACAATATAACATTTTTTCTGATTATAAATGTTATACATGCTCACTGTAGAAAACTTAGAAATCAATGAAAAATATAAAATCAAGTAAACAAATCGTCTATAATCCCATAACCCAAAGATAGGCACTGTTAATATTTTGAGTATTTTGTTTTACTTAACATATATATATATCCATGTATATGAGATAAATTTTAAAATATAATTGGAATTAAACATCTGGCTTTATATTCCAAGGCACAATCATTGTAATATTCAGCACAGAGTAAAAACTGAACAATTTATGCTACTGTGGTTTCTACAGTCTACCTGTCTATCAAGCCCTGACTCATGTCACATAGCAGGAAGCTATATTTAGATGATATCCTTACTCAAGTCTGCACAAGCCTTGATAGACACTGGACTACATTTCTTTTCTAGCACTTCTATGTACGTATGTTTCAGGAACTCAGCTCCAAAAAGCTCCTGAAGACAAGAACCCTGTCACCTACTTCTGTCATATTTCCCAGCAACTTAATATACAACAGATCTCTGAAAAAGTAGGTCTAGGGCTGGGCGCAGTGGCTCACGCCTGTAATCCTAGCACTCTGCGAGGCCGAGGCGGGCTAATTGTTTGAGCTCAGGAGTTCGAAATCAGCCTGAGCAAGAGCGAGACCCCGTCTCTACTAAAAACAGAAAGAAATTAATCAGACAACTAAAAATATATAGAAAAAATTAGCTGGGCATGGTGGTGCATGCCTGTAGTCCCAGCTACTCGAGAGGCTGAGGCAGAAGGATTGCTTGAGCCCAGGAGTTTGAGGTTGCTGTGAGCTAGGATGACGCCACGGCACTCTAGCCCGGGCAACAGAGCCAGACTCTGTCTCAAAAAAAAAAAATAAAATAAAATAAAATAAAAAATAAAAAAAAAGTAGGTCTAATACAGCTAGGGGACTGATTGATTGAATGAATCAATGAACAAAAAAGGATGAAAAAAAGAAAAAAACATATTGGCAAACATGACTAAGTGTCCTAATCAAATGGTATCCACAAAACCAATTCTAATGGGGTATTAGCAAAAGGCAATAATTTAATCCATATCCAAGTCACTTGGGTTAGCCTTTTTAGCTTTATGGTTTTTTGCAGAGACCAAACATAAAAGCCTGAATTTAAATTAGGAGAAAGAAAACAATGTCTGTAATTTACTTTAAACTATTCAGAATAAAAATAAAAAAAAGACTGGTAATACCGAATGTTGGTCAGGATATGGAGCAACTGGAACTCTCATACACTGCTTGTGGGAATGCGAAACAGTAGGACAACTTTGGAAAACCTGTTTCTTTTGAAATTAAACATGCATCTATTTTACGATCCAAATATTCTATTCCTAGATCTATATCCAAAATAAATAAAAACATATGTCCACAAACAGATGTGTACATGAATGTCCATAGCAGCTTTATTCATAATAGGCACAAACTGGAAACAAATCAATAGGGTAATAGATAAACAAATTGTGGTACAGTCACTCAATGGGATACTACTCTGCAATAAAAAGGAACTAACTACTGATAACACAACAATGTGAACTGATCTGAAAAAAACATCAAACTGGGTAAAAGAAGCCAGGAACAAAACCATACATACTGTTTGATTCCATTTATATGAAATTGCAGGACAGATAAAACTCAGATACAGTGACAGATGGTAGCCTGGGTTGGGGTGGGAGTGGGTAACTGACCACAAAGGAACACAAAGGTATTTTCTAGGTGATTGAAATATTATATATCTTAATTGGTGTGGTGGTTACACAAGTGTATACATTTGTTGAAATTCAAACTGTGCACTTAAAATGGAAGCATTTTATAGTGTTTAAATTATACCTTAATAAAGTAAATTTTAAGAGTTCTGAAAAACCCTCTCGTGGACAGTACACTATGATGTATGTGTGTGTTAGCTTAAACTACACTGTAGAGGCGGTCAGTTGTCTTAATCAGGAAGGTACACTCCAGGGGTGGCTGGCTAGCAATTAATCAAAAAGCTTCACTCCAGAGGCGGCCGCTTTAAGTGATTCAGCTATATTTAGCTCCTATTACACCAGGGGTTTCATTAATTATCCTAATTAATGTCAGACAGGCTTGCGTTGGTGATATTAATGGTTTATGAAATATGAGGATTGTTGGAAAAGGTTTAGAAACATTCCCTGTCTTTACATTAACAGGGTTTAAGAAGAATCTAGTATAGGCCCTCCATCTTTAGAAGTGGCCACCCTAAGCTGGATTCCAAAATGTCCAGCTGTAGTTCATCGGATTTTTGGTTGCCTGAATTCAGTTAGGGTGGTTGACAGAATCCTGTCGCTAGAACAATGGTTCTCCAACTTGAATGAACATCAGAATTGCCTGGAGGGATAGTTTAAAAATACAGATTTCCCAGGCCTCACCCCCAGGTTGTCTAATTCGGTAAGTCTTGGGAGGGCCTGAGAATCTGAGTTTCTAACAAATTTCCAGGTGATGTTGCTGCTGCTGGTCTGGGAACCACGCTTTGAGAACCACTGTGATAGAAGACTGTGCCCTGTGTAGACTGTGAGAATATCTCATACCGAGCGCTCAAAAAGGCAGTGCTGTGACTTCAGTGTGCCTCCGGCACAGGCTGTAAGATTGTTTTGTACCCTCTGCCTAATAAATGTTCGTATGAGATAGAACTTGTTCTGAGACCTGCTTTCATTACAACCTGGCAGCCAAGATGTGGATAAGAAGGAAGCCCTCACCTCCTTCTTACCATGGATGGCTACCAACACCTACCGAAGAGAACCTGCGTGGGTCTGTGTTAGCCTAAGTGTGATTCAAGGACCAACAGCATCAGCATCTGCTTGGAGCTTATTAGAAATGCAGAATCTCAGGCCCCACCCAGATTCTATGAATCACAATCAACATTTAAGATCCCCAGGTAATTCACATGGACGTTCAAGCACAACAGAATCTTTAGTTGTACATTTTAATCAAGTTTCTTGGTCCATGTTGTTAAACTTCAAGTATAAATTTCTTTGTGAAAAAAAAAATACCTAGATTGTTTTTTGTTTTACTTTCTATCTTGCTACATTCCATTTTGTGGGCTTTTAGGAGAATATTTAATAACTACTACACAGTCAATTAGACCAAAAACTCACCTCTGGGATATATTTGTGAGTCTCTCATTTATGATGAACACCGACAAAAGGTATTTTATAAATTAAAAACATCTAAGAGTGTCTTGAAAGGTTATATCCAGAGCTTCCTTCTAGAAGTATAGTAAATTAACTTTTCCCTAGACCTTGTTCTCTGGTGAGTAGAACTTGATTTATCTGGGTCGCCCTTCATTCTCTTTCCCCTAAGAATGGTGGTTCTTCCTTTGTCTCTTCTCCCCAGTCATCACTGCTTACCTTTTTCAACAGTCTCAGCCAACTCATGGTAAGAGTTGTCTTGTGACATTAATACATGAGAAACCAATTCCTGTCCTCTCCTCCAGATTGGTGTAACACCATTCATCAATACTATCAGATTTTTCCGATACTTGCTAGTGTGGAGTTCCTTCACACATACTCATAATTGCGTGCCTTTGGCTCTTTACAAAATAAGCATTGTAGAGACATGGAAATGCAGGTTTAGTGAAATATACATCCCTTCTCCCTTAACAACAGCCTATAGCAGTTTCCAGAGGATAAACCGGCAATCCCAAATTATCTTTCATTCATTTACTTATACAAAAGTATTGAGTGCAATCTATGTGCTAACCAAACATCTTGGTAGAAGATACTGGTACAAGGTTTCTCTTCTTTTCCCCCTTTTTTTCTAATTCTCCTTTTCAACTGCCTATTAACTCATTGGCCTAGTTTCCTACCATCTTCCTTCTTTCATAAAACTAAGGTCTCTCTCTTATGACCCCTATTCTATTTCCCTTTCTAATTCTCCTGGTTCTATTCGGAATTCAGAACAAATGATCTAAATGAGGTCAGAAGCGCCATCCAAATCTCACAGTTCATATCAAGAATTGGCAAATTCCAGGAGCTAGAGATCCAAGTTGGAGAAGCAAGGATGATCCAATTCTTTCAGGGCATGAATCACTGTGGAATAGAATCGGAGACAAGCATCTGGAAGGTTCCCGCTCTAGCAATGCTCTTAGCTTCCCTAAAGCAGTTCGAACTTTCCTTCCTTCCAAAATCCTTCTAAGTATGACACATTCTGCCTCTAGTTAATCCTCCCTGACACCCTTTCAGCCTACCTCCAACCCACTGCAGAGAACAAGCCTTCTGCCACCAGTTTTCTATGCACCACAGTCCAACCTGTTCTCAAACAGTGATTCAGGAGTACCAGAAGAAAGCAGCAAGGAAAATGTTTAATTTCCATCACAATGCTACAGAAGCCACGCAAATTTATATCCAGTAACCATCAGTGAACTGCAACGGAGTTCTGGTGCCTTGAAAGTCCTACTCAAGACAGTTAACTGCCTGCGTTGTTTGAGTCTGCATGTGTTGCTAGGAATCTGCAGCACCATTCTCTCTGGCTTACAGCTGGAAGAGATAAGTTTCTGCCTTGTGAAAATGTGTAGGATGCACATAGAAACCTCAAGATGCAATACAGCTGCAAACAATGTGACACTGTCCCAGGCTGAACCTT